GAAAAACTCCGATCAACCATCGCCAAAACCATCGAATCTCCATACTGCTGAATTATCTGTTAATATTTTAAGACCATGAAGAGAGACATTCTAGTGAGTATAGTCGATTGGTGTGTTGGAAGTGACATGAGTCTCTTCAAAACATGTGATGCTGCCAATATTTGCATTCACGAGTTAAGTATTTTGGCTTGCAATGTCAAACAAATCTATTGGCATGAAAGTTTGAAACTTGGATGTTGGATTGTATGTGTAGAGGGAAGTGAGGGTTTTCCGGTGGTATGGTGGTCCAACAATTTGGGTGGTGGTTTGCTGGAGTTTTTTGACTTTTACGGTGGCTGATCCATTTGGAAAAGAAGAGTAGAGAGAGTTTTTTATTGTTATTTTTAATAATTTTATAAGGCTTAATAACAAAAAAATCCCTACATTTGACACTTTTTCCAGAAAACGTTCATATATTTCAATTCTTTTGCATTTTCATCCATATTTTCACGTTTTATTATAGAAAACGGCATTTTCACCAATTTGAAACGTAGGTACATTTTGAACACTATAGGTCAAACGTATGGACGTTTTGTGCTTTTAGGCCTTTTAGTAATTATTTGGATTCATTTGCACTTTTTAAAATATTTAGGAGTAAGATTTTAATTTATTCTTTATTTTTCTTTTCTTTTTTTTTGTTTTATTTAAATGGGAGAGTATTTTGTCATTTTAAATTAAAAAAATGGTGAAAAAAAAGTTTCTCGCAAAGAAATGTGGAAATAAGGGAAAAATGTCAAAAAATGAAAGATAGGGACGTTTTCCACATTAAATTCTAAAGGTAGAAATGTTTTGTACTAATTACCCTTTTTAAGAATATGTGAGATTGGAATAAAACTTATTTTCAGAAAAATTACTTTTGAATAAGGGCTTACAAAAAGTCTTGATTATTATATAAAGATTGATTCATGTTGTTCGATAATGTGCAAAAACTTCCTAGATTTGGCTAAAAACAAAGTATATCTTACGGCAACTAGGATCGTTATTAAACTCTTAAATCGAAGGTGGTTTAGGTTTTTTAGAATTGAGTTTGAATTGGCTAAGTATTTTTTATCCAATAAGAGAAATATATAGAAATACTCTACCATAAAATAAAAATTTGAAAAGTGTTGTTTTTTCAGAAAATCTGATAGTGCGACTTCCAGTAATCGTCTCTTGGTCCACATCAATTCCCATGTTTATGTAGATTTTGATAAAAGTTGACAAATTATGTATTTAAAAAAGTGTGTATCCAATTAAATGTGTGATTTAAATTAAAAGCAGGGCTCGACAAAACAGAAAGTATCACGATGCACTATTTTAGGCTTTTTGACTTCG